AGACAGAAATTACAATATATAATAAAACACGGGAAAATCATGTGAAGCATAAAGATAAATGATATAATACCTTATATACACAAGTTTATTTTTTTGCTAATTGTTTGTGGTTTAAATGAAAAAAAAAATATTATCATTTAACTGGCATGTGTCAAAAAGATGGAGACAAAAAATATTTAACCACAGGTTTTTAGACTACCTTTCATTTTGTTAGATTTATATGTTATACAATTAAAAATAAAAAATATGATAATCCTTCACATATTACTGTAAGTTGCATATTATAAAAAAAACTGAAATGATGTCTTTGCCTGCTGACTTTTAAATAAATTTGTAGTATAAAATATAAGGCCAAAAATACAAAACTGTCACATATCTAATTTCCTAACCGACCCTGTTACTGTAATTCACCCCAAGTCAATAGAAATCAAAGCACTGTAAGCGCTGTAGGCAGTTAACCAAAAACCAAGGCAAACGTAATTATGAAAACTGTGGCAGTGTTGCTTCAATTTTTTTTTAAGATTTAAAAGAACAAACATTAAACATTCGTACATTGTACATTTATGTTCATTAAATGAATTGATTATTAAGGCAAATTTTTCATCAAGGTTTTCAAAAGCAACTCATATATCAATGTAAATGACCCCCATTTTCACCCCCAAGTGCATGATGTTACTCCATACCAAGTTTGGAATAAAATGACAGGTGATTAAAAAACAGTTGTCAAACATTCTCGGGCTTTACACTGCTTGAAAGATTTATATGTTTTCTTTAAAATGAGCCATAAATGAAAATTATTATAGGCCCAGAAATAATTTAATAAATAATTAAAGTAAATTCAATTAATCTAGACGCATTTTTTGCATCAATAAAATTTTATAATAAACAAAAAATAATTGTAACAGGATGCCGTTACGAAGTCTCCCAAACAAAGCCCCCATAATTCGTCATTCCCATGGTCTCCTGACATTGGGCAAAGTCCAGTTCATATTGGTTTGGTCTAGTAAAGTGATGTGCATATGTGACACCTAGGAGATTGACCCTGTATGTCATTCAAATCTTTTTGAAATGATGAACAGGAATAAATATGGTTTAGGTGTGGGTATCTCGACAGTTTACAAGTTCTCAAACAGGAGGGGGTGGGGTGACCCCAGGGACTCCCCTTATATTTCATTTGATTTGTTATATTGTCCCATACATGAATGCATATGGTTTAGGGGTGGGGTGAACCCAGGGACTCCCCAAATATTTCATTTGATTTGTTATATTGTCCCATACATGAATATATATGGTTACCGGGTGGGAATCTGGACTGTTTACAAGTTCTCAAACAAGAGGGGTTGGGGTGACCCCATGGACTCGCCTATATTTCATTTGATTTGTTTTATTGTCCCATACATGAATATATATGGTTTAGGGGTGGGGATCTCGACCATTTCCAAGTTCTCAAACAGGAGGGGATGGGACAACACTGGGGACTCCCCCAAATTATTTTCATTTGATTTCTTTTATTGTCCCATACAAGTATATTTATTGTTTAGGGGTGGGGATCGCGACAGTTTACAAGATAAAAGTACATTTTCAAATTGAAGGGGGTTGGGATGACCCCAGGGACTCACCCTATATTTTTGTTGATTTTTTTTTATTGTCCTGTTCTCATTACTGAAGACTGCATGTGTTAATCACTTACTGTTTTCGAGAAATAGTCATTTGAAAATTTAAAAAAATAAAATCCCATAGGGTTCTATTGTAAACCCCTCCCTTCTTCGTGCCCCTCCAAATACCCCTAAATAGACCCCAATGCACAAACAAAAGATTAATGGCTCCGCTAACATGTTAGTCTAATATTTTATGAAACCCTAAGTAAATCTGACAAACGGTCAAAGTTGTCTTCTTAGACGGTTTGAGTGGATTAGGTCAGACTTGTCTAGCGGACGAGTTGTACACATTACTTAAAACATCCCATCAACGTCGATTTCCGCATCTGTTTCATGACCTCGTTTCATTCATAAAATCAAAACAACCTTATTTGGCAAGATAAGTTAAAAACTGCCGCCCACTTATATAACTTTATTTCCTCTATCATAAGAGATTTGTTGTACATGAAATATATTCCTGCGCATTTTGCCATTTGGGAAATATAAACGACTTGTACTTACCGATTTTTGGCGATGAAATATTTCATACAATTGTTCTTTGACATCGTAGCCAAAAGCACAGGGGATAATAAACTATGTATGGATTTCTATTGAGCACTACTTCCTAAGTGCAACTTAGGAAGTTTTGGGTAGTTCGACGATCATTTAAGGTTTTTCTGGTCATATTTTTTGTATTCCAGAAATAAAAGTATTAAAAAAATGTCCAATTAGTTATAAATAACATAATAGCCAGCTAGATAATAACAATGGCACTTATTTCAGCATTTATTGGGTAGAACACAAATCTAGGGTGCTCGCATAAGGCAGCTTAACTGCCTAAAAACAAAACATTCTTGTCATTTAAGACTTCTCAAATTCAGATGTATTTTTTGCTGTAATTACTTCAGACATTAAATATTTGAACTTTGGTATGGATTTGATGATAAAAACATTATGTTTGTATGTTTGTATGTTTGTATGTTTTCTCCACATTTTACTTGATGAACATGATAAAAAATAAAGACTAATCAGGAACAAAAGAAATATTTGTTTTTGTAACAAAAATACTGGTTCAGAAACTAATGACTTAACATGACACATTCTTGATTAGTTTTTTTGTAGTAAACCTGTTGAAATGCTAACCTACTTGATGATCAACCCACATATATTTAAACTGTACAAATAATTCAGAGATCAGCAATGTTAAGCTTCCTGACTTCACCTATTATTGGTAGACAGACTTTCTGACTATGTATAGTTAAAATATTTTACAGTGTCCTTCAAAATTGTACCAACTGCAAAGTCACCTTTCTGTCCTCAATTCTAGCTATACATCAAACTTTTTATTTGAGTTATTCATAAACAAAGAAAAAATTCAATAAACTGCCGCCAAAACCTGATTGTGTCACAGACAGGAAGTAAGAAGGGGGGTAGTGTAAACATTAGCATAGAATTAGTCAAATATTCTAAAATTGTATGTATATTTACTTATTTTTTTAAATATTGATACCCAGTGTTATATGATTTAATCGAATTTAAGATGAGGGTTTGTTTTAAGAATATAAGTATAAGAATATTAGAATTTAAGAAAGAAGCATGTATCGGTATCTCACAAACAAAACTAAAATCAAAGTCAGAATTTCACACCTAATTCTTAGCGCTCAAGATTACAAACTAAACAGTTTTGTTAACATGGTTAATAATGGTACTTTGTAACTGCCTATTGCAAAGTCATTATCATAAATATGCTAGAAGAAGTAAAGATATTCAATTTAAAAACTGACAGAACTGAAGTATACAATTCTAAAACATGTATTCTATGTGAGATTTGCTTCAACAAAAGAATGTGTGTATCAACACTTCAACAAAATGAAAAATAAACTCAGATTTCAAAGTTACTACAGGTATGCTTTAATAAAGATAATTGTGTTATAATTATCTTACAAACTGCTTTTTATGCCAAACAATTAGAATTCCTAACAAAGAAAACTTTCATCTGCATTACATGATACAGATTTGTACAGCTGGATGATTGTTGTTTGTTAAACGTCCAGTGGCAAATATTTCATGCATGTTGAGGACAAGGTACATTGATCAGAGAAATCAACATCAAATTGTGAATGAACTATATATCTTACACCCAGAGCATGGGACAACTATATATCATACCACCAGAGCATGGGACAACTATATATCATACCACCCAGAGCATGGGACAACTATATATCATACCACCAAGAGCATGGGACAACTATATATCATACCACCCGAAGCATGGGACAACTATATATCATACCACACAAAGCATGGGACAACTATATATCATACCACCCAGAGCATGGGACAACTATATATCATACCACCCAGAGCATGGGACAACTATATATCATACCACCAAAGCATGGGACAATTATATATCATACACCCAAAGCATGGGACAACTATATATCATACCACACAAAGCATGGGACAACTATATATCATACATCCAAAGCATGGGACAACTATATATCATACCTCGCAAAGCATGGGACAACTATATATCATACCACCCAAAGCATGGGACAACTATATATCATACCACCCAGAGCATGGGACAACTATATATCATACCACCCAGAGCATAGGACAACTATATATCATACCATCCAGAGCATGGGACAACTATATATCATACCACCCGAAGCATTGGACAACTTTATATCATACCACCAAAGCATGGGACAGACTAGGCATTAATAACATATATAAAAGAATATAATTTTGATAAGTGTACAGGTGTAAATAAACTTCTACAAATGTACTGATAAAACCCAAATGTCAAAGTTTAAGTTTAAAAGATTTTTGATAAATAGAGAGATGTTCCAATAAACTACATTTTTTTTTTTCATCTTGAAATTTCTAAATTGTTGAACCTTTTTTGAAGTGTTGTGATTTTTTCATTTTTTTATATTTTTTTTTACAAGGAACAGCTTCATGCTTTATGCACCTGTATGGTACATGTATCTTTTTGAAGTTTAATGTTAAACCGTATTGTGCTTGAAATATACCTATCTTTCCTAACTGAGTTCAGATGTATGAATATTCAATTCCTGTAGTTGTAATCGTAATGAACCCTAGAAACGTGTTAGATAATAAATAACCTATCTATATTTAATAAACATGCATCATTCTCAAAGAAGAAAACTTCCAACGAAGTGTCAGATGCCCCTGTAGTAATAAATATGTCAAAATAACAGCTGGAAAGAATATATTTATAAAACAGATCTTTCCTTTATTCATTGACCAAAAAAAATCATAATTACTATGACAGCTTGTCTCACTGTTCCTGAAGAAAGCTTTGAATGAGGAAAACAAACCTACCTGTATGTTCATCTATCTGAAAATGTTTCTGTGCATTTCCTTTTGTAATGGAAAATGTCAGCTCCTCTGATGGGTTTTCATCTTTATCTGTAGCTTCGACCAGGCCAACAACAACATCTTGTTTGGAATTCTCCTTGACCTCCATATAGTACACTGGTTGTGACATCTGGGGGATGTTGTCATTGACATCCAGAACTTTGATGTATACATCCAGCCGAGCATGTTGGGGGACCAATCCACGGTCTTGTGCATAAACAGACAACCAGTAATGAGTAGCTGATTCCCTGTCTAAAACCTGTGCTGTGGTTATAGTTCCTGGAAAACAGTTGTAAAAATATCAATATTTTATTAACTTAACCTAAACTTATAGATAATCTTTCTTAAGATTATCTTTTGTTTTTGAGTACTAATTATGCAAAATATTGTTTTGAATTCTGCTTCAATTACTACGATAAGCATGCACAGCAAAGTGTACACCCTATTTTTCATGCATCTTTGTGTTTCATAAATGTTGTATAAATTTATCTAAAATGTGAACATCCTGAAACCAAAATTAAGTGCCAGGTGCATTTCACTAAAAAATTGGTGCAAAAAATAGAAAATTAGAAAATTAGTTGTAAATTGGTATACATCATATAACAGGAAACTGCTACTAAAGCTTGCATAATTAATTAATTTCAATCCACATGAAACAGACCTTGACATTTTTCAACAAGCCATAAAATAGCTTTGCCATGTGCTTTACATGAACTAGCTTTTTTTGGTTTCATATTTTTTGCAGGAAAATCTGGCTTCTGTCTCCATATTAACTGGCATCAAAATAATGCAAAGAACTGAGAACGCAGACACAGACATGACAGCACAATTGTATAATCATACATAGGACCATTGACTGAATAAAACTTAATAGAAAATTGCTCCTGTTCTCATATATATATATATATATATATTGGAGATTTGAAGAGGTCTAATTCAGAGTCACTTTCATATCACCTTTTACAATAATTATTGTTAATTGTCAATATTCATTTAAAAGTAAACATGAATTATTTTTGTCACAATTTTTGTCAACTCTTTTGTCCCCATTCTACTAGACAGCAAGAGATTAAAGTGAGAAGATACCGATAGGACATTTGACGTCTGTATGTTTAAGAAAACAGACAACACAATCTGTGAAACACCACACAAAAGACTAAAGATTGAGCAACTTGAACCCTACCAATACCCAGGGGTGAAGTCAAATGTTTTTGAATGGTAAGCAGACCTAACATAAAAAATTCAAAAGAACATCAACAAAATTACTATCATTTAATGGGAGATGTAGGAATACAGCAATGAGATTAAGCAACCCAACAATAAAATAAAATCAGAAAAGATATCACTTTGGTATTTGATATTGATTTTTGATACAAACAATAGTAATAAATTGTACTTGGTAAAGTATATGTACAACGACTGCCAGTATAAATAATTTAAAAAGTAATCCAAGTCGTTGATGATTTTCCAATAAGTCTGCATTGGTCTGTCTTCATTGATCCAATTCTAATTTAGGTCATAAGGTAAGAAGGACTTCAGATCATTTAATGGTGAAATATCTTCAAACAGGAGCAACAGTAGATTTCATTTAAATCAGATTGTCAATGATAACCTTAAATTGAAATGTTTATACCTGTCAATAACATAACTAGGTACTCTCTCAGAGCCAACCTATGCTATCAGATAGTATTTTGACATTACAATTATGTAAAGAAATAAATCAAATTTCTTATCATTGATAAAAACAAGACAAATTTGTTCAGCTTGTATTTATCACAGCTACAATAATCACCAGATGTTCATATATTTTGTGTCTTTTATCACACTTAATGCAAAACAGCAGGGGAATGACTTATTCCTTTATGTGCATTCCATTTATAATCAATACTACTTTTTTCATTTAAATTCGGTGAAGAATCTGAAATTAAAGACAGAAAAGTCTGTTCATTCATAAATTGAAGCTGATAAAGTACATGTGTAACTTTGCTCTCATACATATTTCTGGTTGTGACAGTAGGTCATAGATTTGAATTATTCAATATGTTGTATTTCTGCTTTTAAAAGCTTCTCATAACATTCATCTTTTGCTTTCGTAACTGCAGTCTTTTTCCTCAAAACAAATGCACAAGATTTTTAATTGAAAGAGAGGGAGCGCTGAACCCCACCCCTTTTTGTCCTTCAGGTGCATATCAATATCTATAAAAATACCAAAGAAAACTGTGAAACTGGTTCTTATCATTTTAAGCATTTTTGACTGCAAATCAATTTCAAATCTAGGAAATTAAACTGGGCTACATTTTTTAATTTGCTCTACTAGTAACCAAAGCAAGAAAAAACATTATATTTTTTTTTAAATTAAAGCAATGGTTTTCTGTCCAATGGTGTCACCAATACATAATATGTAGACATTCACTTGTTCTTGGCTTAAATGTTTCTGATGGGCAATTGTCTTATTGGCAATAATACCACTTCTTGTTATTTTTACAAATGAAGTATTTCAGAAAAAATTCATAGCTTAATTCAGAGAGATGAGATTGAACATAGATGTCCTTATATGATATAAACAACTAATCTAAAGGCTGTCTATTAAGTTCCTTACAGTAGTCTACAAAAATAAACAATCCAACACCATCTTTAAACAGACATCCCAGTGAAACAAGTCAAAGATTCACATCTTTTTTCCCCCTTTTATAAACACATAGCATATAGAAAATGGTAAAACAGGGATGGGATAAAACAATGCTCCAATGGTTTTAAGCTGGAATTGCCAATATTATATTAAATCCCTGTATCTAGATTATTATAAGTCAGCCATCCTGAAAGCAAATAATATTGCTAAAACAAAACAGACATGTATAAATAATTGACAAAATAGCACCACAAAAATTATAAAACCCTTTGTCAGACTGCTATATATAAACAGGATTCCAAAAGCTAAACTCACATTACCTGCAAAATCATTGCTGTTTGTTCCTGGAAAATTTGTCATTATATTTACAATTTTTCAAATTCATTGCTGTTGAAAAATGTTCCTAAAAAAATTGTCATTTATATATAGAATATTTGAATCCAGTGAGTGAATAACAAAATAAGTCAGTCTTTTGTATAAGATTTTACAAACATTTTACTTCAATATAAAATCTACTTGCATATTTTTTACTAAATTGGTCTCTATAAGTGGTAATAGGATACCAATGTTATATTAAAATGTTATATAAAACATAAAATATAAAATATGAAAAAGTAACAAATTGAAATAAACGAGAAAATTTTGCTGATTCATATCAAAGTTAAACTGCAAAAAAATAACTTTTAAGATTATTAAAACCTTTTTCTATTTAGGAGCAACGTTTTATCTTTTTAAAATGATTGAAAGGCATCTATGACTCAACAGATTAGATTCACCCTGTTGGTCTGTAACAAATAAGTTAATGATTTCCGAAGAAAATTATCAATTTAACCATGATAAAACAGTTTTACTACCAAATAGGAAAATTGTATATATTACAACTGATTTGAATAAATACAGACGCTTGCTTCCTTAAAGACACCTCATTGAACTAATGACGGAATATAATACCTCTAAGGGGATCGTTTTCTTTTTAAATAAATACTACCGATTACATACAAGAATGACTGATCTTAGGAATACAATTAGCTTCTGTTTTTTTCTTTAAACTTTACAAGGCTGAAAGGTTAAGAGGACTCCATACATGTGTATAAACATTAGTGATTTCAGATCTCTGAATTGTTAACAATGACTTGATTTATACCTTTTTCGGTACCAATGTGAATTTTTGAACAGTTGAAGAAACACTCACATACTTTATTGTCAATATCCTGTAACTTCAATGCATTTAAATTAGGCATAAAAACTAGAACTAAAAAAAGGAACAGGAATTTTCTAAAATATGAGAAACACACACGTGTATACACCAATCACGGCTTTGGTAAAAACTATGTAAAGGTCTGAGTTCCCGTAATTGTTTGGGCTCTACATTAATATCCTTTTAACACAATGACCTGCAAAGATGGTACGACAACTTCTTTTTATATATATAAGCACTTTCTGGGTTATTTTTTTTTTTTTTTTAAAGTTTTGTACTTTGATAGAAAAAATTAGCATTTTTTATCTAACCTTAAATCTTCTTTCAATTATTATGATTATGAAATATAAGTTCACTAGAAAATTATAAACATGTTTACATGATATGGTTCACAATTAAGATTAAATCCTGCTAATCTGAATTACAATTTACTTTTTTTATATTCATAATATTTTTTTCTTTAAATTAATTCATACATAAAATTTGTCTACTGAGGAAGATCAAAGCTGTTTATGTATTAAAACAAGATGACAAGAAGTTATCATTCTATACATTGAGTAGAATACATTTGATTTATAGTAAGATAGTTTTCAAGTGGAAATGAGATTTTTATTTTATTCTTAAATCTATGAAGATGAAGACAGACTGCAGCTCTTTTCACAAAAAATCTTAAGAGTAAAAATACTCGTAAGTCATGCACATTTCAGTATAACTTATGATCAATTTTAATCGTAAGATTTTTTGTGAAGAGAGTCACTGAATTGTAGAACATATGAATTTTCATTTAACGCTTTCTTTAAGAACTATTTTCATAACAACTCTTTAAGTACTTGCACATCCTGAAATGGCAATAAACACTGTAAACATGCCAGTCAAGACTGTGTTCAAATATGTTTTTTGTTATCATGTTATAGCTGCAATAGAACCTACTGGACAAGCGGCTTTTGAATAGACAATATAAGGTCAATGTCAGAAAATTATCAACTTTTTTGTATCAGGCTGAGGAGCTAAGGAACAGCAGGGTTTACCAAGCCTTTCAGCAGTTCCATGCTGAATACCAAAACATTAATATTTTTCTGACATTGACCTAATACTGTTTTATACTACAGCTTAAAATGGCTACAATTATAGTTATGAAAATGTATGTTATACACAAAAATAAAACTTATTTTCAATCCCTAAACAAGCCCCAGATTGTGAAGAAAAGTGATATGACATGGAATCAACATAGCACGAAACATCACTTTGTTACTATATTTGGTAAATAAAGACATGAGGAAGTGTTCTTGCTGCAGTATAAAAATTGAAATGTATTCATTAAATGATGTACAATTTGTGTTGGTATAAACTGCTAAGGCAGCCAAGTTTATGGTGAATTCAAATTGCACTGATTTTATTAACAAAAAACTGTATATATAAATAAGAAGATGTGGTATGAGTGCCAATGCCCATTGGAGGGACTAATTTTTTTTGGAGGGTTGGGGTGGGGGGTTCTTTGTCTTATATCCTTATCAATATTTTTGTTTTAGTCATGAGAAATTCACACTGCAAAAATATTTGACATTCAAACCACTGGCTTAAATATCGAAATTTCTTTACCTTACTTAGGAAGTAATTCAAAATTACACAAAAACATCTCCAATTACTTTTCCTTCAGGTGCAAAAATTTTAATTTATTTTTTAATTGTTTCTCTGAAGTAGAAAAATTGTCATCATGGTTTGAATGTTGTTAATTTAAAGTCAGTCACCCCTCAGTCCAATGTTCAGGTTACACATAACATCCGATTCCTTTTACAAACAAACAGGTCTTCCCTTATGTTTATATAGATTACTAGAGCTGAAAATTAACATGATTAACAAAGGATATAGATTATGATATTTGACACTAACTTTTATTACCTAAATACGGTCATCTTGATTTTATGATATTACAACCTAAATACCGTCATCTTTACAATCTACAATCCAGTCCTTATAAGATATGCCTTCATTTCTATGAATTTTGGTTGCTCTCAGCTTTTAGAAGGTAACTGTTATCAAAATGATTATAAGAATGTCTTATTCATGAATGCAAAGGTAAAATCAGTTTTCCAATTTTTAATGTTTGAGTCTTCAATGTACCTAATATGTTTGTTTCCTGATCAAGAGTAAAACATGGTGGAGAATTGATGCTCAAAAAGTTTATTCCCACCACAAACATGTTCCTGTCCCTGTCCAATGAAAGGAACTTGGTTGGTGGTTGTCTTACGTTATACATATCTAATGTTTTAGGTCCTTAGGGAGAATTTGGTGTTGATGGCAGATGTTTGATAGTCTATGCTCAATTTATTCACAACTTTTCTCAACTCCAGGCAATTTTAAGATCTTGACATATCATGTCTTTACAGATACTTACGCATTTTTTTTTTTTTTTTTTTTAGTGTAATTTACATTGTTACAGTCTCATTGGCATATACATGAGCCTACACCCCCTTTTATTTATATAAAAGCTTTCCATTTAAAAAAAGTACTTTTATTTCAGAAAAGTAAAAATTTTGGATACATGGAAAAGGCCTGCACTATCATGATTATGAAGATCAAGTAGACTGTAAATTTTAAAGGCTCTTGGAAATATTTCAGACATGTAAGACCAGGTTTTAAAGTCTAACTTTCAGGTCTGTGGTTATCTTGCAAATTTACACTAAACAGAATTTAGAAAATAACCAAAAATCATGAATCATATAAAGGCATACAGGGAACTGAAGTACAGATGCACTAACAAAATCATCAACTCCAGACACATCCGCCATGACAAATAAATCTATATACTTTATAATGATTTCCAAATTAGAAGGCAATCCTTAAGAAAAAAGAATAAGGTGGGGTAATGAAATAAAAAGTTTTAATACTTGGTGTGTTCAAATAAAAGTAAACCTAAAATAAACACCTACTAATACAATATTAACATATGAATAGTATTATCTGCTTAAAAAATGAGTTGGTAAAAAAATCGTGAATGGATTTGAATGTGTCTTTACCTGAGAAAACATTAATTTGGTACAAAGGTGTTTATTTTCAAAAGGTAACCTTTAAAAGATTAAAATATTGGTGCCTTGTTTACTTTCATTTCACTTATACCTTGTATTATGAACCGAGCTCTAATAAAACAGGGTCTAGGCAGTACAGTCATCGGAACACCTACGTAAAATAAATCGGTTAATCTTGGTTGTTATATACAGCTGTGGACTGTGGTTTCCCGAAGTTTCATAACAACATGTTACATCAATCTTGAATTTAACTTCACCGATATAGTTGTGGTAAATAAATTCGCATTATGTTTCTAGATTAAACTTAACGAAAGCACTTCTGAATGCCCATATTTGTATGTAAAAATGCATATGAATTTTAATATTAGATATAAACATGTTCATGATGATAAAGAAAACCTTTGAACATTTTTTACATTTTTTATCTGAAAAATACAAACATACTATTTATACATGTCCTAAGAGGACTATCATGACAATATCTATATCATTATAAAAGGAAGTAAGAAAAAAATCTTGGTACGTTGAAGCTGCATTTTTACTGTAATGAAAGAACAGCACCTATCCCAATTAAAAAGTTGCAAGGGTTACAAAATTGATATGTAGATACACTGTGGTTGACTGTTGAGTGGGTTTCTGTGGCCAGGGACTTCTTTAATATCATCTAAGGAGAACTTTAGTACGTAGTCTGATGGACCTATCAAATACCTGTTTACATGAATTATTGAAAATGAATTTATATTCTGAATGACACATACTCACTGAATTTTGAGTGACAGAAGAGTAAAAGACATTACAATAGGAAAGTAATGCATCCTTATGTCAGATTCAACAATGCAACAAAAATACGCTGAGTTAGCTAATTCCAAAAGGACAAAAAACAAAAAGGATGTATATCTGACACTTTACTTACTTAATTATGATTTATATACTGAAATTTATAGTGATGCAAGTTTTGACTGAGGTAACCAATAAAACAGTTGAATACAATGATAGCTACTAATAGCTTTGTCCTTTTACTACAGAAATTCAAAGGTTGCTTTCCCACAGAAGAACTGAACTCAGATTTAACCCTGTCATAATAACTCATTAAATATGATTGAGTACTATAATACGTTGTATTTATATGGAAAATAGTTCCTATGGTATCAAAGCTGGATTTCTTAACAATGTAGTCTAGAAAAAAAATAAACCCTGGGTATGGATGACTGATGTGACAATGCATGTGATGGTCTTATCAATCACTTCCCGGAAAAAGACAAATGGGCAAAATTGAGTAATGATATATGCAAAATACTAAAATTGGTCTTAAGTGGAGAGGAATCTTCCCAACACTTAGAATGTTGAGTAAAAGTTGAGAGCCCTTTATAGAGTTCTTTATTTGTATTTGCCAAAACCTTTCAAAATTTTTGGCCCTCAATGCTCTTCGACTTCATACTTTATTTGGCCTTTTAACCTTTATGATTTGAGGTCCACTGATGAGTCTTAGATGTACAATGTACATGATGTAATGTGTGTTTGGCGTACCAAATTATAAGCCTGGTATCTTTGAGAAGTTTCTTTATAAAAAATTTACATAATTCCACACTGAATCCCAAGTATGAAACATCAGTAAACATGGGTAATCAAGGGCTCTTATTTGAATAAGGTCATTTTCTATATTATATCCCTGGTGTTTCCACAATATAACCTCAGGGTAGACAATGACTCTTTCCCATGTTAAATCAGACATGTATGAGCAAGAGTGTTGACATTTTACTTTATGTCACTTTTCAAATTTTACAAACATTTAAATAATTTATAAACATGATAAATGTACAAGATTAAACCATTGAAATAAGGATATTGAAAATTATATAAGTTATGCTAAAATTCTTATTAGAGAAAATGTTTGGTCAGGCAAAAACTACTGATTTTTTTTTAATTCGTTAATCATGTTAATAGTATTTACTATTATTCCACTACCTGTATCTGCACAAACTCCCTTTTTATTAATGTTTTAAATATACATTTGTCCAAGCCTCTCATTAAAAAGTGTACTTAATTAGTTAAATTGATATCTACTGTTCTTTAAAATACATGCATACACAAAACAGAAAACTTGATCCCACTGGGAGTGACAAAAATTTCTTGTCAGTAGTTCTATCTTACTTCCAAATGACTATAATTATAAGACAAACAGTTAAATGTATGCTTATAAATAAAAAAATCCATTCAAGGTAGATATTTAAAGTACTTCTGTAACTAATAGGGTGCAATACTGCACACTTTTATGAATGGTTTGTAAATGAGACATTTTCTGTCCGAGCTTGTCAGGTGTCTTAGTACATGTAGTACAGGGCAGATTTATGAATGGGGAGTGTTCTGTTTCATTTTGTGAGACACAAGGTCTGAAAAAAGGTTTACAAAGTATGAGTACCTGTAACATGATCCGATTTAAGGTAAAAATGTCTAATTATGGGCCTTTAATTAGAAAACATGTCTTTGTACTTCCTAGGTCCTACCTAATAACATGTACCATGACCTTTGTTCCTACATGTCACATCTACATGTCTACATAATGTTTACATGGAAAAACTTTTCCTATTCTTTATTATCAGTGTAAACACATTCTTTACTATTGTTTACTTATATGTGTACATTCAATTTAATGTTCACAATTTAGTATACAGCCACATTTGACAAAGTAAGCTTGTACTTTTGCATAAAGTAAAATAACAAAAATACCGAACTCCAAGGAAAATTCAAAACAGAAAGTCCCTAATCAAATGGCAAAATCAAAAAGCTCAAACACATCAAACGAATGGAAAACAACTGTCATATTCCTGACTTGGTACAGACATTTCCTTATGTAGAAAATGGTGGATTAAACCTGGTTTTATAGCTAGCTAAACCTCTCACTTGAATGACAGTCACATAGAATTCCTACTCATGTATACAATATAATGTTTACAATGAAGTACACAGCCACCCTTGTCAAGAAGTTTGTCCTAAATGTTCAACATAGGTTACTGTTAAAATGTGATATGTAACTCTAATATCCTTATTGTATGACTATGAGTTATTATTTTGTTGTGCTTCTTTTTCTGTTCGCTTACTGTGTTAAGTACATGTATATTATTATAGTTTGCATAAACTTCTTGACAAAGAACATTTTTTCAGAAATTTTATGAAGACTTCACTTAATTCTCTAGTATATATACATGATATCATAAACATGTTTGTATATTTACAAGACTTTGATAGCCTTATTTTATAAATTGCATAATTGCTCTATTTAGCATTTTGAAATACATTTTTTTAACATCTGTCAACTGGTAAAAATTTACCTTCAATAGTAAAGACTTGAGAACAAGCATATAACTTTAATTAACGACAGTACTATATCAATTTCAAACTGACTCATCAAAAGGTCATTTTCATAATAGAAAACTGTTAAACCAAATCTTATGGGCTATAACTTGAAACAAAGCCATATAAAGTTACATTCTGTCTAGGTAAAATAGAAAAATATAAGAGGTCAGTGAAAAGCACAGTTAACTTTCATGACTTAGGCCTGTATAAACAGAACTTTGATATTGTGGTTAAACATTGGTTTTACCTGCTGAGAGTGATTTATGGTTTTTAGCTTCACCTCAGTAAATCCTTGCATCTGTCTTTTTTAATCAACCAAAGCAAGATCTCACAAAACAATCAGTCTTCTTTTACAGTGTTTTGTAAGTTACTTACAAAATCATGAAAATGTTTCTGATCTTTTTTAACCTGACCAATTTTATTTGTCAAGTTTTATTTAATCAAATCTTTAGTTTATTCTTGTACATGTATCTTTATCTTAAATCCATTATTGCCGACCGTAACAGCTTGCAGACTATTTGTAAGGACTGCATCTACCATATTATGTACAAAAATGTATGTAAAAATATCAATAACATGAAAGTTGGTCAGATGCACTTAAACACAAGACATGATTTTTTTTTCACTCTTATATTCTTGCTTTTTAAAAACTGGTCTTATCATCTTTCGGAATAGGTAAAATTAATTTTCAGTATGAGGATTTTAGTTTGGTAATGTGTCTAATACAAAATAACATAAAATATATTTCAAAAAGATGTACTTATATGTTAAAATACAATTTCTCTATATAGATACATTGTATGGTAACCAAAGTCAATATACATGTAGTGTTGATGACTTCATAAAGTCACCTTAATATAAACCAACAAATTGCATAACTTTAACCTACATGTAAGATGTACTGCTTCAAATTTATGGTCATAATGGTCATATACAGATACATGTATCATAAAAAATGACTCAGTACGCTATTCTTGTTGTACAAAGTCAACTGTCCTTGACTTTAAAGAACAAGTGCTCATGTGATAATTACAATTGAAACTACTGATTTGAATATTCATGTAAAATTTAAGAACATGTTATCTTACCATTGAAATCAATTTTAAATCTGCCAAGACCACTACCATCTCTTATGGAATACACGACTGGATTCAGTTCATCCGGATGTGCATCTGGATCTATTGCTTTGACTTGCAGCACAACAGAACTTATCGGCATATTTTCATTTATATATCCTATTTCAAAGAAATTTTTGAATTTTGGTGGTTGTAGATTTTCGTTTACATCCATCACTTCAATATTTATAAAACATGCTGATTTTAGAGGTGGATTCCCACCATCCGATACAAATGCACTGATGTTATACACTTGTTTGGTCTGAAAATCCAATTGTTTAGCAATCCGTACAGTACCAGTTGTTTCCTCTATTTCGAACTTTCCATCAGTTCCATGATTCAGTTTATAGGCAAGCTTTCCATTTTCTCCTGCATCATCATCGATGGCCTTGACCGTTGCAATGACAGATCCGACAGGTAAATCTTCACGCACCTTCAAATCATAATTTTCAGGGACAAATTTTGGTATATTATCATTTTCATCCAAGATATTTAAGGTAACAGTTGTAGTAGCCGAGTGGGAAGGTGACCCATGATCACGAGCTAACACTGGGATATAATATACATCATGAAGCTCTCTATCCAGAGACTTTTTCACTGTGATTATTCCATTACCAGGATTAATGAAGAACTCCGGCATGTCTGCCATGATCCAATACTGAATTCTGCTGTTTTCTCCTTCATCTTTATCCTCAGCGAAAACTTGTAAAATAGTTGCATTAAATCCAATACCTTCAGAAACCTCGGTTTCATATTTTTCCTTTTCAAAGACTGGTGGGTTATCATTTGCATCGATAATTTCAACAGTAATGTTCATACTGGCAGATTTTCTTAATTCCAAAGGGGCAGAATCAGTTGCCCGTATTTCTAAATCATATTTTGCAATACTTTCACGATCCAGAGCAGAACTAATGAACAAACTTCCATTATGTAAATCCAATGTAAACTGATCAAAAGGGTCCCCCGCAACAATGACATAAATAACCATTCCATTATATCCTTTATCATCATCATGAGCCACAACCTGTGTTAAAAGTGTGTCGACTGCAGCAGATTCATCCACTTTCAAATGATGTACATTTGACGAGTTAAAGACTGGGGTGTGAAAATTTTGAAGATTAAGATTTGGGCTTTCTACAATTTGTTCACTTATTCCTTCATTGTTAAGACGGGAGATTTGCATCAGTTTTGCCAGCTCCATAGTGGCATTGGTGGAAGAACAGACAATATTAGCATCTGAATTTGCTAACTGAGAGTTCCTTTTGTTATTAACCAAAGTGATATCAATATTAACAGATTCGGATGTGAACTTTCCATCTGATGCTGTTATCTTAAGAGTAAGTTTATCTGTCGAGTCATCAGAAAAGGAGCAATTCAAGGACAGTAAACCAGTACTTGGAATCAGCTCAAAGCATCCATCATCATTGCCTTCTTCGATGTTGTATGTTATGATACTGTTGTCAAAGTCTACAGCAGTTATAACAGTAACGGAGGTATCAACTGGTGCATCTCTGGACAGGTAACCAGAACATGTGGATTTTTCGAACAGCGGTTTATTGTCATTTATGTTTCGTAGATGAAAATTCAAAGTGATGTAAGATTCTAGTTTGTATGGTTTGCCCCAATCTGATGCTGCAATGTAAACTGGATAATTTCTTTTCATTGTTTCATAATCTAAAACTTTAGTTGTTTTTATTTCTCCGGTAAAATGATCGATTTCAAATGGAACATTTTGGAGATTTCGGATAGAGTAACTTACAACGCCATTGTCACCTTTGTCAGGATCAATAGCATGAACTTTGTAAACCATTGATCCAATCGTAAGGTTTTCCTCGAATGAAATATCGGTTTCTTTTATATCAAATTTAGGTGGGTTATCATTACAATCTAGTATTGTGACAGTAAGATTGGTCGTTGAAGTTTGTTGACTAATTTTATCTTTTGCTAAAATCGTCAGGATGACCTCTGAACTGACCTCTGCATCAACAACACCATTAGTTTCTATTAAGCCTGTAACTTTATTAATAGAAAACCAATTTTCATCATTTCCAGCAACAATTTTGTAAATAATTTCAGAATTTCTGTTAAACTTGTCTTTTGTTGCACTTAAATGGATTACAGATGTGTCAATGGGTACTGACTCTTCAATTGATGCTTGGTATGAATCTGAGATAAATTTAGGAGCTCCATTAAGACCTAAATCAATGTTTATTTTGATTTGTGTGGATGACTTTTTAGAAGGACTACCAGTATCAGTTGCTTCAACTGTCAAGGTCAAGTCCAAATCTGATACTGAATTGTCACCAGTAATCACAGACTTATTTAAGATAAGTAAATACTCATCTGATATGGCACTTTTAACGATTTTAAAATGATTGTCTTTATCACCAGATAGGATTTTGACACTTTGAATAAGTCCATTTGTTCCTACATCTGAATCAGTCACTGTCAATATGGCAAATGTAGTACCATTGATATTTTTCATGTGATGAAATGGCAATTGCTTTACTTTTATATCAGGAGCAAAGAAATTTGCAGGAGTGACAGTAATACGAACTAAAGCTTTTCTCAAATCCCCATTTCTTAAAGTCTTTGGTCCCCGATCTTGAGCTTCTACCTCAAGGTCATATTTTGCTTGAACTAAATAATTCAACTGTTTGGTAACAGTTATCACTCCACTTGTTGGATGAATGGCAAAATCATCTGTCTTCTTTATAAAACTATAGTAAATTTCTGCATTAATCCCAATATCTCCATCAGATGCTGATACCTGTACTATACTGGAATGTACTGGTGCGTTTTCACTGACAGTTACATCATACATCTCTTTGTCAAACAATGGATGCAAATCGTTCTCATCGAGAACATTTATAATGAGATCACATGTTGCCGTTTTTGTTATTCCTGGCTCTATTTTACCAACAGCTTTAATTTTCAAATGATATCGACTTTCCAACTCTCTATTTAGTATCCCATGACTACTTGTTAGCGTCCTTACTCTGAGAAAATAGAAATCACCAACACGATATTCCTCTGCTTTGAACACATTTAAGTTATCACCATCAAATATTTTATAATTCACAGAAAGCCACGGGTTGGAAACAGTAATTCCCATTTTATGAGAAGACGTGACATACGTTTTTCCTGGAGCTTTTTCGTAGATAGTTGCATTGTATGTATCTCGTGTAAAATTAAAGTTGTCATTCAAAACCAAGGCGGAGCTCGAGGAAGCCAACTGGAGCAAGAATAGACTCCAGACATACAGCCAGGTGCCATGGTAAGACTTCCACCATCCCCCCTTGTACCTTTCTCCCATTGTCACATATCTGAAAAGAAATAAAATTACACCAATGAGTAAGTCAGTTAAAAAATCAATAGATTTAGGTAATAAACATGAACATATCAAATACAGTACTCCAGCTAGAAATTGAAAGAGACAGAAACCTAGTTAAAATAACAGAAGAACCACAAGAATGCTGTGTAATTGTCTGCATGTGAGAGACAATCAATTGGAAAACTCTATTTGTATTTTAGAAGGCACTGTATCATGCAAACAATTAGGAATTTCTGTTTGTTTTTTAGTAGGCGCTTAAACAAATACAAATGAACTTGGCGTAATAATTACAGTTGTTATGTTGGAAGGTTGGTAAACAGTTTCAAGTTGTATATTTAATTTCAAAATAAAAAATACTGGTACTTCTTTATTAAATCTGTCCATTTTTTATTTTTTATCAATTAACATAAACAGATCATAAAATTCTACTGATTAAGTTAAAATATTTTAATTTGATTTTTTTAATTCAGATGCAATTTATGCATTTTTCTTCACAAAATACAAAGTAAACAACATGTATATGTAATTGTCTGAACAAAATAGGAATAAGATTCAAAGAGGGCTGTAATCAAAACACATGAGTCATAGAAAGACTGTCTGCACCATGGCATTATAGGTTGACAACAGTCCACAAAACATGACACACAAAATCAAAGATTGAGCAACACAAATCCGTTGGCCTCACCAAAAACCAGGGGTAGAGTGTATGCAAGTCTAACCTCCTAGAAAAAACCGAACCAAATTTATTTGATCCATTCTTTGCAGGATTAGAAGCACACCATAATTCAATGGTCCTTATGATGGTCAAATTATCTATTTTGTATGTATACATGATCTTTGAATGAAATCTAAGAAAGCCTGGTTTAGCTTTTAGGACATATAAATATTTTATTTGAAGTCAGAACTAAATTAAGCCTTTTTGCATTAAACAGACATTATTTAAACATACTTTACCTGTCAATGTCTCAGTTAGACTAATCTATCTACGACTAATGGCCATTTCAATTAAGGTAATGTGTTACAAGTATTCTAAATGTAAAAATAGCTTAAGGGAGACACACACACACGTAAGAGTTATAAAGTTATGTAACGCTTATATCTGTCATAATCAACTCAAGGAGTTTACTCTTCAGAAATTTAAAACCAACAAAACAATATTAGCTTATGTAAGTGAGCAAATCATTGAAATTATGAGAGAGCAATTTCCTATACTTCAAAAATCAAACCTCAAACTGCCATCTTATATTGTTATGCGATAGACACTGATCAAATATTTGATCGTAAATTATGGTCATGTTTGATTTTCAGACCAGAAAATGATGAACTAAATAACGTCCAAATTATATGTTAAATTCATAGTCTGGGGTATGTTTGCTGTATGTATTTATTAATATAATCTATTCAAAGTACAATCCTATTCTGTATTTATCCTTTTATGCAGGTGTGACGAAACAGACATAAGTTTAATCCGATTTACAAATTAAGTCTAATTTTTGTCCTAAAATCAGAAGACAAAACCAGTAATTTAATAATAAAAGCATATGATTTCATTTTCTAGATTTATACCCTAAATAAGTAACACATTTTAAAGGTTGAGCACACCTGTAGGTGCAGTTTATTGCTATTTCTTCAGACTTGTAAAGATTATGCAAAATAACCCAGCCTTAAATGTAAACAAAATTCAAAAGATGTTTGCTTTTTAACAGTATAAGAATATTCCAAATTAGTTGACATCTTGTCTGTCTGAAAATTTATTATTAGTTGTAACAGTGAGATGTATTGAATACTTCAAACATTAATAAAAGGGTATATATGCGGTATGTCGGTGGGGCAGCAACCCAATGAAATAAAAAAAAGACAATCTGCAGGTCAAAATATCATCTCAAAAGCAGACAGATCAAATCAAAATACTGTATTACTGACAAAGATAAACTTAAAAGGACATTAAATATTACAATTAATAAAAAAATCCTCTGATGCAAGACTATTTTGACATTGTGACAATGCATTTTCTTGAATGCAATACAGTTAAATTCAATAAGATTTGCTGAAAATGCAGAAATGGAGAAAAGATGTTTTTATCTTTTATTTTGTCAATCCTGCACACCTGTTACCCTATTGGAATGTAAACTGCTATACAATTGGACATTTTGATACCTGTCAACCACACTGCATGACAATAATACAACATTTAATGACTCATATATGCATGCACTGCACCTATTACATAATTACAGAAAATCGATTAAAAACGGCATTGAAATTTTATAACGAATGAAGTAGAGCATGACATGAAAATCTGATTTTCCAATTCATTTTTAGTCCTATCAGCAGGATCAGTCAGAAAAATTATGCATTTCCTAGTATTATTATCTGTATTCAACCTTTTTAACACAGGGCTTGGTAAATCAGTTAGCTAAAGGCATTTTCATTCAAATTTCAGTTAACAAATACATTTTATTCAAATCTGATATTGCCTTTTTTATCATGTTTTTTGTATTAGCCTTAAGAGATAATATATGCGTCTTATAAGTATGTGTGCTTGTTCTAAGTCAAGAGGGGGTCTCATTGAGGGGGGGGGGGGGGGTGTGTCTGATCCCGGATCTAGCTTATTGTTTTGTCAGAAACCCTTTTCTCATCCCGCTTATCATTGTAATAATAGGGCTTGTAATTTCACGTGTCCTGGCCGACTTCGTTTCCCTTTTTTCATGCAAAATAATTTGACTTTCACGTATCACGCTTACACCCCAATGAGACCTACTCAGTAATTTTGCCTTATTGCTTTCTCTTTGTGATTTGTCTACGGAGGATTAGGTGTTGTTGCCTTGTATTTACTAATCTCTGATGAATTTATTCAGGTCTTGTTTTAACTCTGCTCTACTTTTTGTGTGGATAGAGACTTAGCCTTTGTTTGGCAATCCAAAAATTTGTATTTACATTTTATACCTTTTTAATCTAACTTTTCCATTTTTAAATTGTCTAAAAAATTTGTATTGAAATCATTTTGTTTTAGTTGTATTTTAGGTTTGCTGTCTCCAAGACATTATCGTCTGATCTCTTAATCAAATGCAAGCATATCTTATTAAATATTTTAATAAATACAACATAACTACATCTTATGTCTATCAGCAGTTCACTTATACTTATAAATGTATGACATACACATTTTTCAAAAATTTTAGGACACAAACTGGCAAAAACAGTTTAATAGATCAAAATGAACTTTTCCAAAAATACTTTCCGCGTGCCTTGCTAAATATTACATAGACATACAAGGTATGTTTGTTACGATATGTCACAAATAACATTATGAAACATGTCTATAGTCAGCATAATTTATGGTAACGTTAAAATTTAACCCTAGACAGTCCCCATGCTTCCTGTTATGTTTAACTTTCATGGCCTTAAAACATGTTCTCTAAATTTACATCATTTTTCCTAAATTTTGTCACAAGATATTTACACCTTAAAGTGCAGAAGAAGTAAAATAAAGAAATACTAATGTAACAAAGGGAAATTTCGTTTTTCCAAGTGTAGAGTTCATCTAACCAAATTACAACTTAAAATAAGATATGGTATTAATGCCTATGAGACATCTCTCCACCAGAGACCAAATGACGTATCTATTGAGGTAGTACTGAGCCTTTCCCATAATATATAAAGCATTTTTTATCTGGTTGAAAAAGACAATTTATCTCTTTCACGATGTATAATAACATATCTATGTATCTATGAAATAAGTAAATTCAAACTATTAAAGTTAACTTTGTTCAAGGTCCGATATATCCATATTTATATACATTTATAACTATCAAGGCAGACCCAAGTTTCTTTTAATCCATAGATTGTCACTGATTATGACCTTCGTCACACCTGTGTGTAATCTATGACATATGTATAAAGTTGGGTCTTTTTGCTTTAAAATCACAAATAGAAAAGGTTCAATTGCATGACAGTTTTTAGTTTTGACAAAGGATATATTTTGGCATTTGGACAAGGTCAGCTAAAACCATTATTAACGAATGACCCCTTTGTCAAGATCATGACACCGAGATAAAATTTCCTGTACTATTTGTACTTTTGTTCAAACTTAGTATACAGAAAATGTATACTTGAATGACCACATGTCCAATCTGCTTAAACTAAATCTCAATACTATACTTCTGGTACATTGTAGGTATATTTGATAAGTTCTGATTTGGAGAGTTTAGAAATTTGAGGACCTCCCTCCATGATTCTGGAGATCATACCTAAACATTTTGGTGAGTCCCAAAAGAAACTTGTAAGTCTAGGACTAATCAACGCTATATCTTTAATGATATAATTCATTTGTGAGAACTAACAAAATCTTCATGCAAACTTTACAGTAAAAAAAATTACAATATTCCATTTTTACTTTGTCATCAAGGTTTTAGTCAAAATCTATGTAAAAATATATATATATTTTATTTATTTAAACCACACTGACCCATTTTTTCCTATACAGTAATGATTCGCCTTTTAAGACTCAATGGATAATTGTTTTAGTCTACTTGTGAATTAATTAAAATGTCAGTAGGTTTTCTGTCAAAAAGGTAAAAGAAATCAATTGATCTTTGACACAACAAAACTCAATGTCAAAAACTGTCTAGGTCAAATCTTACATTACAAAGGTAATTCAACTTTTTGTCCCCTAAAATTTTTTATGAACATATCTATTCTTTAATATAGTTATTATTTATACAGTCCAGTTATTAATGTTTTAAATTCTATTTGAAAAACACTACATAATTATATAAAGGAGAAGTGTATACATAAATGCAAAAGCAACCTAACAACACACAAAAGTATGCAATATCATAATTAGGAAAATACATGTTTCTTATAAAATGTTTTCAAATTTGTCGATCTAATTTCCTTACAGAATCTTTTAAAAGTGGCATTATTTTTTCAGCAGGTTTTTGGGGTCAAATAATAGAATGTTTTCACTTGGTCTTGTCTGTATTGGCAAAGGATTTAAACAAAAGCTCGTAACAAGTAGCACCTCCAACTAATGAGATTTTAAATATTCTTTCAGTTTGTCAGTTTACAAAAACACAAAAAATATGTATAAAGAAAATTTTCAGTTTCTTATAAACGAGCTTTCATAGAAATTAGCTAAACTTACCAAAATATAAAACCCTTGTATAATCCATTTACAAATATGTCAAACCAACTAAAAATGCTTGTTTACAATCTCTGAGATACACAGCATAGCATTACAGGTACATGTATATAGGTGTTACACAAGACAGATAACAATCTACTTTAAGATAAGGTTTTGAAAGGTTTATTTTCATCACAGGTAAACATCAAAAGGCTAGTGTACAGGTAAAAATCAGCTGGACAGACTGATTATTATCTTAACTAAGTGATAATGGGTCTGGTTTTCACCAAGCCAGTTTCTCCTAAACAAAATCCCACTGAGTTTGACTCTTCATAAGCTAATCAACACAATAAAGGGTTTATATCTAGTTATTGAATGTGTATTGGAAATCAATGAAGGATTTGAAGGGTACTTGTATGTTTGTTTCTAAAAAAATATTATGTTTGACTTTTGGAAATATCACTATTATTCATCAATAAGAATAAAAAGGGAAATATTTACAGAAAGTATAGCTGATTATTAATAGTATAAATAATTTTTTAAACCTAGTCTAATCAATCTATTTAAGTCCCAGGCCTTAGTTGTAACCATTATTTGTTTTCCCTCAAGAAATAATTTAATTTGGGATGTAACACGTCTTCTGATTGGCTGAAAGTTTTTTGTCTATCAACTCTCAGACATAATTTTGTCATGTTTTACTCCTTAAAATGGAATTTAGAATTACATTATAAGGAATGACTAATATTTTTTCTGTCTATTCGAAATAACCTCAAAAATGTGGTGCACACTTTTAAATAACCCAGCTTCCGCTACGCCTGTTATTCAGTGTGCACCACATTTTTGATTGATTGATTGATTGTTGGTTGCTTAATGTCCAGTGGGACATTTTTTATGTTATTTCTTCATAGACAGAAAAAATATTACAGTCATTCCTTAAATCAGAGACATATGTATATACACATGTCTCTGCTTAAATATTGAATATATTAAATCTAAAAAATAGTAACATGCAATAACAGATAATAAATGACTGCATAAGAAATCAGATAAAAAATTATTTCCTCTGAAATAGAGAACAGTAATAAAGCCATTTTAACCATCTTTGTCGTTTTTTTAATTTTTAAATTTTTTTTAATCTTTTTGTGTTCACCTTTGAAACTGTGGTGTAATCGATAACTATAACATGTGATTTGTATAACTTTTTTATACGTAAAAAATAAATTTATATCATACGAAATTTAAAAGAAAATGACTGTTGAATTTTTTTAGAAATTCATAAATATCTAATAAATCCTATTCAATGAAGTTAGCTTGTTGTGTACAGATTTTTTTTGTCACTGTCTAGCGTGTTTTGACAGTTTAAACGTTCTCGGTAGCTACTCTTTTGCTATAAATATTCAAGAAATAAAATAAATAAATAACATTACCCTTTAAAGTAATAATCATATCCAGTTTTTGATGTAAATAAACAATAACTATATTTGTAATGTGTATTCCGACTTTCAAACACCTGTGCATAACATTGAATGTGCCTGACAATGTTTCCGGAAGATGTAAATCGACAAAATATACCCAGGTAAGTTATGTTTTATTGCTTTCTATTGATCGATTTCACTGTTCAATTTATTTGAAAAGCAAAATGACCAAACATTTGATCACATACTATGAAATTCTTAACTGTCATAACGAAATTCAATACCATTTAAAAAAAAATTAAACCTTTGTGCTACTTTCGTTTTTACTCGCATGAATATTTTGGACTCCTCCCACAAAGGAAGCACTATTTTCATGAATGAAATTCCCGCTAACTATAAAAAAAAATACATAATTCTCTCCGGGACTTTTCAACGATATTATGCAAAATTCACAGTTGAACGGCAAACGCCTGAATCTGACAGATAGAGGTCAATTTGTCGACAAAAAAAGTACCCGTATGTAAAATGTTTACGCCCACAAACAGCGCCACCTATAATTTTTTCTACGGCGTCTTTGAGAACGATGTTCCGTTCTGTAGTAAATTAAAACATTAAATTAACTAAAACATAGAAAAGTAAGTGTATAAAACTAATTAAAAGATATATTTGCACATGACTGGTTATGCATGATACGCTGGCAATGTGCGCAATGTCCTTTAATCCAAGATTCAAAATTAGTTTGTTTCCTATGTCAAAATGGCGGATTCCAATGTTTACATTTTTCCATCGATTTGAGAGCTGACACAAATTCGTATCCAATCATTAATTTGCATATTATGTACTGTGTAGGGTAGCTTATCCAATGGGATTTACTGTTATAAAGTGGCTATACGTTACCAGCCATCGTTACAACAGTGCCATGTGTTTTGTGTGTATAGCTCAGGAATGATGTGTATTCAATATTTACGGTAAATAATCAATGTTATGTTCATTATATTTCCATGCATACACAAGTCATAACAGCAAATGCATTTTTTATAGAACTTACTAGGTAAACAGACATGTTTAACTGTCTGCTTTAGCAAAAATTCGTGTAAATAAACCCGATGGGTCGTTATGAATATTCAAGCACAGCAGACAAACACGTGGTAGATTATTGATGTTTGTTTACCTAAATTGCACGCTGTTGTTACTAAATACTTAGAAATAACCATTATCGTGTTATCATTGTTTAACAGCAGATAAAATTAATTTTACAATTGCATTTAACTACTTTCAAGAGTTATATAATACACCTTGCCTAAGAAATAGGTCTAGCTAGGTCCATGGACCTCCTTTACTAGGTCCTTAAAAAAAGAGGCTGTAATAATGTACATGATGTAAATTACCATATTTACATTCCAGCATTTTTTTGCATTTGATATATTTCATATACATGTACATGTATGTACATAGAGAACAATAGAGTAAATGAACATACATGGGTTTAATTCCCACCCTAGGTATTAATTTTAATACTCATTAGAGGTTGGAGCAAATAGGGCAGATTGCAATCGACCATAATGTAATCGGGCATAATGTAGTGTCTAAAAATGCTGATTGATGTGGCCAAGTCCTCAACAACCTTTTTTCTAAGTATACAGCAGCTCCTTTAAGGATTAGTAAGGGAACACTTTACATATAGTCCAGTGGCTAAGTCCTGTCTTTTTTGTCTCTATTATTTCCTTATTTATATTATTATATTTCTTATATTCTCTTGTACATGTAGTAAGCTAAAAAGCTATCATTACTCTTTTTCCTCATCTGCCTGATAACAATGAAATGTATTCATTGTTGATGTCTGTAAAGTGACTTATAATTTAACTGCTAACAGACATTTGGACTCTGGTGGATAGTTTCTATACTGTTATCTCATTGGCAATCATACCACATCTCTTTATTTTAGTACAGGTTAAGTATTTAAAGTAAGTGACTAACAAACATTAAATCATTTGAAAGAAAAATTCTGCAATGATTTCAGTTTACATATATCAACAATAAGATTTGGTTGTATAAATTGTGTCATTATGTTTATAATGACCACTGTAATTGTGAACTGCCATGACTGTCTTGTACAAAATATATTTGAATAAGTTCCCTAATGAATAGTATATAGATGTTTAAAAAAACAAATGTATGTACTAGTTCCAGATCTATCAATTCAAAAATAATTGATGTTTTTTTTAATTAATTGAATAATAACAACTTATTGCAATAATCATGATAATCATGATATTAAAATACAAACTAGCATTCTTATATGTGATACATATATAACTTAATGCAGCTTATTCTGAAATTGTAAGGTATGTCATAAAAAAGAGATTTTTTGTAAAAGTTACCAAAATTGTCTGTATTTCAACCACATTTAGGCCTAGGAACCTTAAATTTTTAAGTGTAGAGGTTGACAAGTCATGACTGTAAATTCAGATATTATCATGAGGTTTTTATTAAAGTAAATAATGCGATTAAATTGATTATCTCAATAAAAAGAACTCTCATTCTGATTTGATACTATGAGATTTTTTCTGATATCAGAAAAATAAATATCTCATTGTTGTCCATTCTTCAAAAAATTTCTGAACATACTGTACATGTATTGAAGTCAGCTTTGTTTTTGTCTGAGACTACTATAACATGGGAAGTGACCAATCTCTATGTTAATTGTTATAGTAGTCTCAGGTTTTTGTTTTGTAGTTCAATTGACTATGCATTTTGGAGCAGTTAAATATGAATTTGGATTAAATTTGAAGTTGATTCAGTATATTTTATGACATAATAACACTCTTTTATTTAAACAAAGCATTTTCAGACTTTATTTACAGACCAGCTTAGCTAATCATTCATTATTCAATCAATAATTTAATTAAAAGACTCAACAGTTGTTTGTAGGACTTATGAATTCAAATATAAGGGAAAAAATCAAAACTTGAAGTAATACATGCAATAGGAATTATGAGAACTGCATGATATCAGATTGCAATACAGCTTTTTGTTCAGTTTTTTCTTTGTGTTGATTATAATGTTTTAAATCCATTTCTGGCTTTTTGGATGTTCAGATTTTTTCTCTTGATTAAGAGCGAGCAACGGAACTTGTACATCTTATATAGTTTCTTATCTCGGGGGTGGATCAAGCAAATTTTCAAAGAGGAGGGGGGCATGTATTGTCTACATTTTCTTTTTTTCCATATTGTATTTTAATGTAATGCAAAGTTAAATTCTATTGTAACACAAGTTCTGCTGACAAATGGCTGATAAACCCCTCTTGTATGTAATTATTTGGCATGAAATGAAATATGTTTTTTCTGTATATGGAAATTAGGAATAATCCACCCTCTCTTTATAAAAGACCTGGATCTGCTTAAAAGTTCTTGCTTTTCTCAGAATTTTCCATTGTTACATCAGGAATAAAGGCTACCAATAATCATGCTTGACAATCATTGAGGTCACACATAAAGAACCCATCTCTTTGCAGATCATAGTAGAAAAACAAAGATACAATGTAGTTGGTAACATAAATGTATTTAAAAATATCAAGAGAAACATTCCCATACAGACTCTCTGTCAATAAGTTATTTTTCCACTCTTAACAGTGAAATCTTAAATATGTAAATTGATAGGCAAGCCTCACATCTTGAAAAATAAAATGTCTGTAGGAAAGAACTATTGTTTCACAATTGATGCTGTGTTAGAATTTATAATATCACTCTTTTTTCTCCATATGATCAGCATAAAAAGTGACAAGTTCTTCAGTCTAAATAACTTTGTTAAATCTCATTTCTGATGGAACATTTTCAGTGCACCAGATTAACAACTTTCTATGTTAGATACTTATTTAAATATAAAAATTCAAGTCTAATTTTAGAGTGAAATTTTAATATATTTAAACAAACTGTTCTAAACAACCAACATGTACAAACACTGAGTTTATTTTCATATCCTTTCTAAGAATATTGATACAAAGAAAGTAAAACAAAGACTTGTATCATTCCATCTACCAAAAGGTTGTTTGAGAATATACAAATAAGTCCAAGTTTCAGAGAAAAGTCAGTTATCTATAATTTTCTTCTTTGGAAGTTTTCAAAAACCTGTTTTAGGGTACTTGAAAAAATGCCATATTCAAACATTCCATGACTATTTTAATGTTACAAGAGTAGAGGAACATAAAATATTGAATGGTTATTCAAGAAAGTGTCGAAATATAACTACAATCATTAATTTTACTCTAATTTACTGTTGTGAACTTGCAGTTTCCTACGACGCGTGTACGGAGTTATCTCCCGTTGATCTCCGCTTCGCCACGAATAAGCTGACACAATTGCGTATCCGGGGAATTTATGATCTATAATTAATATATAAGATGCAGAAAATGGTTTTACTTCATATTTTATACCCCTCCATACGTTACCAAACCCATTTAAGAAATGATTTGGGATTTTCCGTAGACCTACGCAAATTTTCCCAAAAAAATTTCAACTTCCATCGTTGTTTTAGATTACTTTTATAACACCTTTCATAAATAAGTATACATAATAATGAAGCTTATTCACTCAAGATTTGGACCCTACAAGTTTTATTTATGTACGAGTTACAATTAGACGATACGAGGTAAAAAACCAAGAGGTGTACACGTTCACAAGAAAACGGTAAACTCTGACCTTTTATCACGTGACCAATGTCTTGAACTTAGACGCCATTAAAGCGTTTGCCGTTCAACTGTCAGACGATATTCACGAACAAATTATCAGAAAATCTAGGAAGCTTACTTAAATATAAAGGGTTGTTTTACTTTATTAGAAGGGATTAGACGTTTCAAAACTGATGCAGATGAGAAAATTAATTACTTTACTTGTTAAAAAAGATCAAAGAAAGATAACTCATTTTCGTAGAAACTAAAATATGGATTTATGAAAATTATAAGCAAACAAGTTGCATTTACATTTTTGCGGTTAAGAATAAAATGCAGAGTTAAGTTTTTTTCAAAACTTGAATATAACGGTTAAGCATAGATATAATAGCCATGGCAATCGTCTGCAATCATGAATACTCTACATTTAAAAAAAAATACGAAAATTGCTAATTGAAAAAAGTTATTCTG